TTTTAGAAAAGCTACAAACTTTTTCCGGAATGTCAGCCATTTTTTCCGTTATATTTTGTAATATCACAATATAAGAAATGCAGTTTCCTTGAAATGTGCATAGACCAGGAGATATTTAGGCCAGGATCTAAGGGCGGGACCAATTCAGTAATCACCAAATATGAATATATTGTTTATTATTACTATTGTTCTATACTTATTTCTAACTATGATACTTTTATCAGCATCAGTTTCCAACACATGCAATGGCAACTTTGCCAGCTGTTTTGACCAGTGGCCATAACGCTAGTAAAACTGTCACGAACTTCGCCTAGCGAAAGGATACCGGCTGAGCATTTCTCTCGACTAGAAGTTGTACTGTGGGACGAGGCCTTAGTTGTCTCGAGCTTGAGTATTAACACTTCTAGATCGCTATGATAAAGCTTTAATGTTGGATCAATTTCCACAACTGGGAACTGATTCAGGCAGCGAGCTGGATGTACGCGGCTGCTAGCGCAACGAAAAGCATTCGATAAGCTATAATGAGAGAAACGACGAGAGAAGCCGGAAAGTGCTACCGGAGGGCGACCCAGTCATTCCATATGTTTTGCTGTTTTTTCTGCAGTAATATTGCCGTGTTTCTAATAAGTGCATGCCTAATTTGTAATAATTGTAAGACGTGCTTTTTCGCTTTTTTGCTTATCTCAGTGGACTTTTTGAGCAGTAGTCGAACTTTAACACTGATACATTGCTCAGATCTCGCTGCTTCCTTACTGTGGCGTACTTTTGTGTCATCAAAAAAGCAACTGGCGGCGACCTCATTACGGTTACTGCAATTGGAAACTGCACTACCTGGTGTCCAAGGTGTTGCTGACCCTGGAGTCCACCTCCCCACATTTGATTCCCCGATGAAGAATGCAGTGCTTACCATTTCATGCGCAGCTTGTATGGCCTTTCAGCTTGCTTCTTAGAATGCGCGTTTACATTAACAATTCGTTTGAACGAATACGAAGAACAAGAAGATTTTTGAGTGAATCTTGGAGCAACCATATCAGTATGACCAGTTATTGCTTTACTGTTTAACATGTGCCCTCATGCTGGCAATGTTTTCGCTTTTTCATGTATGCAGGGAAAGAAGTAGCACCGACTGGGACAGTATTGTTGCATCATCGGGCCGGTTGAAATTTTGCATTTCAGCTTGCATGATTATCGCAAATCTTGCATGAGAAGAAATAAATAAGTTTCGGTGACCACCATTTATTGTAAATACAATTTCGCAATAAAGAGAATGTTATGAGAGAAGATTAATGAAATCCAGTTAGAAAGCGTCCTGCCAGAATTTCCCCGTTTCCGTACTAAGATATAGACGTACTTGAGAACTGAGTTTGTAGTTTTTGGATTGCGCATGGACAGAGAACTTCTTCCTAAATTTTGAGCTTCTTAAACTTCCTCGTTCCCGAGTTAGTAATTTTCTGTCAAAACCTGCGAGAACCAGGCCTGCTATGCGAGAACAAAGCCTGCTTGGGAACTGAATTTGGAATCTTTGTAGTGCATATAGGCAAAGAACATCCCCCTAAAATTTCGGCTTTCTAATTTACTCAGTTCCTGAGTTAACAATTCCCCGCTAAAATATTCCCGTGACGGAGTAGAGAACAAGAACGCTTGGGAACCGAACTGAAATTTTTAAACCGCATTTGACATAAAATGCCTTTCCTAAATTTCAGCTTTCCAACTTAATTGGTCACGAGTAACAGTTTTCCTGCCAAAACTTTCACATATTCGTACATGAAACGCAGAAGTGTGTAAAGCTGACAACATTTCCTGGAGTCGTTTAAGAAGTAAAGCAAATTTGCACCGAAACAATCCCATAAAGGTGCACTTGATAAAATGAAACAAAGAAATACGATTTTCGGCACCTATCAAAATCTGGCTTGGCTCGGCCGGATGAGGGAGGAATAGGGAGGCAGTTGAAATAACTGGCGAATGCAGGGTGGAAAGCGAGGATAGGGAAAGGGAGAATGAGAGCGAGGAGGCGGGAGAGCGCGGGGTGGGGAGGAGGGGGTGTGACAAAGATAAAAGGGATGGATTTACTGACTGGGAAAGAGCTGAAACCTTAGCTGAAGGTAATGTATATACGGGCGGGGACCATAAGAAGAGGAGAAGGGGAGTGGATACTTTTATAAGTTTTTTATGCTCAACATGAAACTTACTGCTGAGGGAAACTTAGCAGCCTTTAATGTGGCGCTTAAAACCTTACTTGGACAACCCAGGCCGGAACGCACCGGGCGGGCCCGTGCGATCACGCGTTTTTGCACAGGACTTGAAATACTCAGGTCATTAACTGCATGAATGGTTGTTGCTTTATACCT